GGGAGAGGCGCGCGCGGGGAGCGAGTAACGGAGGCAGCCGGTCCGGAGCGCCATCGGACTCCTTCCTCCGCTCGGCGGAGGCGCTCGGAGCCCAGCCATGGTCACCTGCCTTGAAGTCGGGGGCTTCACCGCCTGGGACTATGTGGTCTTCGGGTTCATGCTGCTCATCTCCGCGGCCATCGGGCTGTACTACGCCTTCGCGGGAGGCGGCCAGAGGACCCGCGAAGAGTTCTTGATGGGGGGCCGCAAGCTGACAGCCTTTCCCGTGGCGCTCTCCCTAACGGCCAGCTTCATGTCGGCGGTGACGGTGCTCGGCACCCCCGCCGAAATCTACCGCTTCGGGACCATGTTCAGCCTCTTCGCGATCACCTACACTCTGGTGGTGATCGTGAGCGCCGAGGTCTTCCTGCCCGTCTTCTACCGGCTGAACATCACCAGCGCCTACGAGGTAGGGAGGGAGGTAGGGAGGGACCGCTTAGCGGCTTTCTGGAGAAGCACTCACCCGTTTCTCCCGGGTTGCTGACTTATTGTTTTATCCACATACTAGGCGTAGGTTGTCCATAAACAATTACTGTCACGTTTTTTCTCCACTCCATCACTCGTTTTCTGAGATCTTCAGCTAGGAGACCTAGGCTAGGAGATGCTGAAAACAGTCCGGGCTTGTCCCATGGAACTGGACTCTCCAGCCAAATCTTCCATTATCGTGTGATGTTGCGGCAGCGTCTTTGCCATCCCAGCCGGCATAGTAATAGTTTAGAGCAGCGTTTCTCAACCTCAGCAACTGTAAGAAGGGTGGGCTTCAACTCCCGGAATTCCTCAACCAGCAGGCCTCCACCCATCTTAAAGTTGCTGAGGTTGAGAAACGCTGGTTTAGGGGGCACAGAGCAGCTTGGACACGAGTGTTTCCTCTGCTACTGTGTTATACAGCCTCCTAGATTCTGCAGCCTGAAGTAAGTGACTGTTTCCCTTTACCAATGGATTAACCAAATCAATATCATTTTGTAATCGTAATCTGGAAATAGGGTAAAGAAAAATATTAAATCAAGAATACTTTGAAATCCATCTGTAGGTCCCGTTATACTTTCCAGCTAAGTGCCTACCTTCTGAGTGAGGCTGTACATATGAGTGCATGTTTCTGCAAACATCTGTGAATACAGTATGCAGTGACAGGTTGATGAGGATAAGATGGAATTTATGTTATCAAGATGTGGCTATTTATTGATTTTTATATTGATTTATATAATGTTGATTTTTGCCGTAAACCACTTAATTCATATTGATTGAAGTTTCTTAATATATAATATTAATATTAATACAATAATATTATATGATATTATTATATTAATACATTATATTATATTAAATATAATAATATAATAATATTAATATGTTTTTGAAATAAAATAAATAAAATCATCAAAGGCTTGAGATTCTAACCTTTTTTAACAGAAATAAATCTGTTAAATAAATAAATAAAACAAATCTCATTTGCCAAAATCAAATTTCAAATCCATTTCTTTTCTGCATAAGTCACTCAACACAAAGCTCTTATTGGGTCACAATCATCATAAAGCCTTGTGTTAAATGCAACAGTACAATTATATATAGAATAAAGCTTGACAAGTAATGCAGATTTATATAAACAGTATAGAATGACAAAGGTTGGCAGAACAATGCTAATTTAACCAAGATTGAAGCAATAGATAACTGCAAAATCAGACGTTTTCTCCTTTAAAGTAATAGTTCTTCAGTAAGATGTTCACTCTTCCTTCAGAATTACACAAATATTACATAATATTTGTTTATTACAGTACCTAGAAATGCGATTTAATAAAAAGTTGCGTCTGTGTGGAACAGGACTCTTCCTTATACTGACGGTAAGAAAATTGATTTATACATTTCTTAATGTTTGAAGTTTATAAAGTAAATTATATTATTTAATAGGTCTTTGCAGTAGATTACATAACTAGGAAGTTTAATATAGTGTAAATAGTTGTAAAATAAAGTTGGCTTTAGAAAACAGATGTGGAATTATGAACTATTTATACTGACTAAACTGAAGTATGAAGTAAGGGGCAATCTTCATCCCCAATGACAAAGAGAGTTTGATTGCTTATTTATGTAATAATAGTTATTTAAATAAATATGCTAAAGAATTTTGAACTAAACTTTTTGCACTGAAAAATATTTGACTGATATCTACAAACTTTTATTATATCCTGTAAGGTGTTATGTTTGCCAATTAGCCCTCTCTTTGGAATATACCTTGGATTCCAATCTAAAATAATTTAAGGGTGTCTTCAGTTATCTTCCATTCCATTAAATCCTTCATTATCCCAAACATTCTCTGGAAGGTTGAGGTTCTTTCCTGAACAATATGAGATGGGCTACAGCAAATTTCTTGTCAACTTCAGGAGTTAACTATCACATAACTTACTTTACTTCTCAGAATTGCGATTATCAAAAGAAAAACAAATGTTGTTAATCTGCTTGAGATCTTTGGCTTTATGATCATAATTTATGACTATGAATGATGCCCGAACCTTTTTTAAACCTTTGGTTGTTCAGGAAATAAACAATATTCTTATAAGAATCAGTTGCTTTGCCTGCAGTAATATTCCAGACAATAATATTCTGCATTGTATCATGATTATGATAGTTTTTTATTTATTGATTCTAAAAATGAAAACTATTATTATTTAATTGGTATTTTGTGTAAATGCTACTGAAACCCATCACCTTTATCAACAAGTGTATCTTATATTGCTTGGGTTTAATTCACCATGCAATTCACTACTGCTTCCAAGTAGTTCTTGGACTACTGAGATTAGGATTTTGTGTTGTTTCTTTTCAGGTAATTTACACTGGAATAGTCATTTATGCTCCAGCCTTAGCTTTAAATCAAGGTATGTTTTTTATTTATTTAGCATCAAATAAAATTAATGCTAGCAGTCCAGGACAATTTTTAAAGTTTTCAGATTTCTCCTGATTCTGAACATGTTTATATAACTGAAATTCCAAAATCAGAAAAGTAGGTATAATTGTTTTGAAAAGTGATGTAACTAAATTAGCTACTTGGGTTGTAAATAGTTTAGGTTTAATGGACTGTAAATATTAAATGAAGATTCACATGGATTCTAAAAGTATTACAATTCTTGAAAAAATATGTGGTCAGTTCACAATCAATCTTGTGCAATATTGCATTATATTTGTAATACAGTGCAAATGTCTGTCATAATGATTTTCATGCTTATTCACCAAAACCTAAATGTTTATATTCTGCATTATTTTTATAATGAATTTCAATAACACATATATAATAAATATATGTACATATATTTTTAGTCACTCTTCCATCAAAAAATTATCAGACTCACTCTTCAGTTTCAGTGCTTGTTGTATCTTTTTATGTAGACTTACATCTGCATCTTTCCAGAAGGGGCTCTCTGTTTAAGAAGATAATGGAATCCCAATGTATATCAGTTAATTCTTAAAATTATGATCAACGTACTTTGAATTAATCATTTTCTGCTATTTTTTAAAAGTCTTTCATACTTTTTTCTTCTCTAGTTACAGGAATTGGTTTATGGGGTGCAGTTGTTGGAACAGGAATAGTCTGTACTTTCTATTGTGCACTGGTATGTCTACAATTATTCTGAAAATTGCTACAACTGCAAATGCTTCAGTTTAAAAACTTAATTGAACAAATTCATTATATTTACTTCTATTATTATTATTATTTTAAATAATGTGCATTGAGCAAAAGTATTTGTATGGCTTGGATAAGAAATCCCTTTAAAATCTTAGGCTCCAATGAGCCTAAGTATTATATTTCTTTTAATATTAGTTGCCTTGTATTTTAATCTGTGTCTGTTCTCCATCCAGGGTGGACTAAAAGCAGTGGTTTGGACAGATGTTTTTCAAGCTATGATCATGATAGCTGGATTTTTATCTGTGATTATACGTGGTACAATATTACAAGGTGGTTTGGGAAATATAATAAATGACACCTACCATGGAGGAAGGCTAAATTTCTGGGAGTAAGTATTTAATTTATTTCAGCTGCAGAAGAAATTTTCAAATGTATATTATTTGTTTTGTAGTTAATTTAAATCATTTGTATCAAATAAATGATACTTTCCAGTAATATGTCTAGAATAAGGCTGTTACTGATCAGTATTAGAATGGTTAAAGTGTTGGACTAGGATTAGGAAGATGAAAAATCACTGAGTGACTTTGAGCTAGTCACTTTTTCTCTGCTCAGACTTTTTCATAAGGTTACTATAGGGGAGTTGAAATAAAAAGAGATCCCCAAGTAAATTGCTTTGAGGGGAAGGCGGGATATAAATCGAAGGAAGGAAGAGAGGAAGGAAGGAAGGAAGGAAGGAAGGAAGGAAGGAAGGAAGGAAGGAAGGAAGGAAGGAAGGAAGGAAGGAAGGAAGGAGGGGAACAGGTTTAAAAAAGGCTTTTATAAGGCAAACAGCTTACCTACCTAGTGCAGCACTCTTCTACCACATTGCTTTTGTTTGTTGGGGGGATCCAGTATATTGTAGGACTACAATAGGTTGGGATAGATGGAAAAAATAGCAGATTGGATATCCTATTTTGTGTGAGCACTTTTGGATACAATTTTAAGATTTATTCATAAGAAAACTCTGCATCTTCAATGATGTAATTCCTAATGAAATATATAACAAGTTTTGAATTTGTGATCCATGCTATTTAATATTTAACATTTCTTAACATTTTTGCAAATTAAGTTTGAGAACTTAAATATTCATAGAAAGAAAACCTAAAGCAGTATTTAAAAGACAAATGAATAGTTACCTAATATTGTAAAATCCATTTTTTATTTAATATAGCTTCAATCCTAATCCTTTGCAAAGGCATACATTCTGGACAATTGTTGTAGGTGGGAGTTTCACCTGGCTTGGTATATATGCAGTCAATCAGTCTCAAGTTCAGCGATACCTTTCCTGCAAAAACAGATTTCATGCAAAACTGTAAGTTAACCTGTGCTTTTTGTTTTGCCCAAGGATTTTCATTTTAAATTGCATTCTCAACATAGAAGTCCATTAATGAAACAAGAAATCAGCCTGAATGCTTATAAATGTACTATCTGTATCTTACAGCCTTTTTAAAATGCAAAACTTCTAGTAACAATGAATTTAGCATTAATAGGACATTCCATTGAAGAGCATATATTAGAACTATAACAATCAATTATCAAATTATATGTTACTAATATTATGAAAATCTTAAACAGATATGGAATTTTGATTTTGTAAACTGTGTCTGATTTAACACCCATTTATGATTTATGTATAGAGTCCTTATGAAGGGCATAATATAACCCTATGTTGACACAGACATAAGTAACCATCTTATCTATCTTTTAAAGCAAAGAGCTAATCTTGCTGTTCAAGATGCATGCTGGCAAGATGAAAACAATTAAAAAAGAGCAGTGTTTTGCGTTCTGTTTGGAAGTTAGTTCTCATAGATTCATTCCACTTACTTCTTGGCAACTGTATTTTAAGTTTCCAAACTGGCCTAAAGGCAGCCTGAAATGATACCTCATAGTATTCAATATGATGTACTTGGCACATTATTCATTTATTTTCCTAGCATCTTACTCTCAGGCGTACAATCACAATAATAAGAATACTGCAATATTTTAAATCCTTATAAAAATAATTAAACACTGGGAAGAGTTGTTTTCATTCATAAGAGGAAAACTCCCTGAAATCCTGGAGAGCTAGATAGTGATTTGATTCAGTAAAAAACAGCCTCATATGTTAATTAAAATCATGATATAAATCTTAATTTGATACTGTTTCTCACTCAGGTAAGTTTCTGGTCTGTGACTACATAATCATTTGGTATCAAAAGGAAAAAAAAAACCCCTGAAATCATTTAAATGAAGAATAAAGTCACTAAACATAATTGAAAATGCTCTTTTTATCACTGAGAACCAGATCAGAAATTTCTCTGCCATAATTATAAAAACAATTATAAAACAAGAATCAACATACTCACAAACATCTAAAACTTACAGGACACATGTGGTTGAAGCCATCATTTTTTCAACACTTCTAGGTCTATGTCCAAATTTTTTTTTAAAATTCAGGGATGAATAACTTGAGGAAACAGAGCACATGCTGCTGTAAACCATTTTTGTGGCTCTGACGCAGCTTGAGGAGGAGAAAAGGGGAAGAAAGTTTATTACTGAGGCCCAAAGCCAATATGCTGGTGAATATCCAATGATACAGCTCAGCCAAGTGTTAGCAGAAAGAGGGGATTCTTACATACAAATAAAGTATAACATTTTATTTTAGCCACACCTCAATACATAGATAATAATATAAATAATGATTTACATTTGCTGGAACATTTGCATAACTTTTTTAGCCAAATAAAACAGTACATTCCTTTCAAACAAAGACTTTTTCTTTGCCTGCCAAGGAGGAAATAAATGCAGGTACAATGCAATGCGTACTTATATAATGCTACAAGATTATGACATTTCCACACATTTTCAAAGTGAAAAAACTGTTGTTATTTCCTTATAGATCTCTTTATTTAAACCTCGTGGGACTATGGATAATTCTTCTGTGTGCAGTGTTATGTGGATTAACAATGTACTCCATTTTTAAAGACTGTGACCCCTGGACAGCAAGATGTGTGTTAGCACCAGACCAGGTTTAGTATTAAACATTTTTAATCCATGCCAAACAAACATTAGAGCAATGATTTTCAGTTTGATATTGGGATATGATTTGATTACAGGGAGGTACTAGGAGTAATCGTAATAAATCCCTTTCGAAGGAAACAGCTAAAGAATGAATAATATTAAATATTTGGATAATGTCTCCCAAAGGATGCCTTGCATAATTGAAGAATTAAACGAATGTTATATTTTTATGCCAATTTTGGACCTTTTTTTTACCTTCCTGGAAAAAAAGCAATTTAAAAGACTATTTTTACACATATCTTTATTACAAGTGGGAATTAATGTAAGTTTAGGTCTTGTAAAGGATGCAGATAAGAATATAGGAGAAAAGAAACAATATAAAAATAAAAGTATAAAATATATGTGATATTTGCATTTTTCAGCTCATGCCTTATTTGGTAGTGGAAATTCTACACCAGTTTCCAGGAATGACAGGCCTTTTTGTCGCTTGTGCTTACAGTGGAACATTAAGGTAAGTTAATTCAAAATTCAGCAGACAGAGAAGTAGGGGTGGTGGCAATGGATTCAAATGACAATTGTATAGTCATTGAACCCAAGGAGACTTACTTCTCAACAGAAATATATGGTTGCATTGTTAGCGGGATTTCCAAGTAAAAACCTGTATTTATTTTTCCTTTAAAACAATTTTAAAGGAAAAATGGCTGTTTTAAACACCCCACTACTACATATAAGGTCATATAGCACAGCTTCACTGCTTAAACAATAGGAATGATTTTAGGTGATGAAGACATTAATTAATCTACATGGGAGCTAAGGACACATACTTGTTAGTATGTGTGTTAGTTTCAATGTGTTATTATATTTAATGGGAATATTGTTGCCTTTTAAGGTGACCTAGAAATGTTTTAGCTAACAACAATAACAATCCAATTAGTAAATTTAAAAAAAACCCACTCAGAAAAACTTCACAGAGAAATGAAAGTTTCATTTCTGGAATGAATCGGTACTGGTTCGGTACATTATGCCAAACCAAAATTTGCTTGGATTTTCTTTAGCATAATGTGTGGATCCATTGTGGTTTATACTAGCCATGGTTTATTATAACATACATATCAGGTCAGTGATTTCTTTACTTATTATACAGAATTGTTTCTTTAAGGTTTCATCAGGACCTACTGTACTTTGACCAGAATGAAGAGTTTTTAAAATTATGGCCTTTTTTCTGAATATCAGAACAGTAGATTAAATAATGTCTTTCAATTATGGTAGTTATTAAGCTGCTTAACTTTAACATCGGTAATAATAAACACTATAGTAACGACTTGATAGCAAGTGAAATACTGCTTTAAATTGGTATGAAATTAAATGAACTCTATTTTTCGCTCCTTAGTACAGTGTCTTCTAGCATCAATGCTTTAGCTACTGTGACTGTAGAGGACCTCATTAAACCTTATTTCACATTCACTGAACTTAAATTGTCTTGGATTTCTAAGGGGATGAGTAAGTGTATATTAATATTTATTTTAAATTTAATTTATGTTAAGGGAGAAAATCCTTTAGTTTGTTTTTAAGGTGACTTAGTAGATGTTAAAACATTATAATTAACATTTATTGAAATATATTAACTATTATTATTTTGTAATATTATACATAAGCTAAGTAGCGATATAATTCTATTACTACTGTGTAAAAGAATATATGCTGCAAAGAAAAAAACTATATGGTGAAAAAAGCATTATTATTATTATTATTATTATTATTATTATTATTATTAACAAAGAACAACCTGACTTGTCTACTGCTTAGAAGATGGCTCTGTAATCAAGGGGAAACAGAGCAAAATTCATATAGCAAAACTTGCAACAAAAGTTGTGCGCTATATATATATTTTAATAGGATTACTATGTTTAGTGAATTTGTGAATTGCAGCCACAAAATAAAAAGTGTTATTTGACCTCTTTCATTCAATTTTATGACATCATTCACATAGGTTTGTTTTATGGTGTGGTATGCATTGGAATGGCTGCCTTGGCGTCATTACTAGGAGCTTTGCTACAGGTATCTTTAATAATTTCTTTGTTAAGGTTAATCTGTCTGGAAAACAAAGCAACCATTACTTATTTCAATGGATTCTTCCTTTTTATACTTCAAACTGCTTACTTTGATTGTAGTATTAGCACTGAGTAAGCATCAATAGAGTAAGCCAGTACAGTCCATAACCTTCAATGAAGAGGCCTTCATCCTGCAGTGAATTGATTCAGCATGAGCACAAGACAGCTGCAGCTTAAGGGTACAGTTCAAATACGTGCTATGTCAATAAGACATCTACAAACAAAAATCAAAGATTTATACTGTGCATTGATTTGGGCACAGTATAAATCAATACGAATCCAAAGAATGCAATGGTTTGCTTTTCTTCCTTCTTTCATTTTCCTTTGTTTGTGTCTATGTGTATGTATTGTTTTAAAAGCTATTTTTGGTGGGGCAATTGATGGCAGAGAAGATATAAAGGAAGGGAATAATTTTCTCACCGGCCATTTCTGCATTCCAAGGCGTGTTCCTTTCAAGTGATATTTGCCTCCAGTTTGAAAAATTAGAACCCAAGAAATTCTGCATGGGCAATTTGGAGTGGGGAAATGGTTTACAAGGAAAGGATTAACCATCTCTCACCACACTTTCCCATTACTAATTGTATCTTAATATATAATGTTCCCTATCAGTTCTACAAGTTAATGTAATATTACCAACCTGATACCCTCCAAATGTGCTAGGAAGGATCACAGTTTCCCAAATGCTTATCTATAATGATTAATAGCCATGCTGGCTGAACATTCTGAGAGCTGAGTCCCAACATATCTGCAACGCATCAGATTAGAAAATGCTGATTTAATAAATAGCCACTGTTGTGGTTCTGAGTCATTTTTTTCCGGTTAGAAAAGCTGGATAAGTGTATTGTAAATGAATATTATATTTTCATTTTAAATTATTTAAATGAAAATGAAGATATTTAGCACTGTTTGAGGATTTTAATCAAATATACAACTTAATGTTTTCCTCAGGCAGCGTTGACCATTTTTGGCATGGTTGGTGGGCCTCTCCTGGGACTCTTTTCCTTGGGCATCCTTTGTCCCTTTGCCAACAGTGTGGTAAGAAGGTTTTCTATTTACACTACTATTTATTTAATTGCTACCCTGCCTTCTGATTCAAGACATTCCTCAGAGCAAAGAACAAATTACAGTCAAATGTACTTGAAGCTATTAAATGTATCAATTCAAACCACAGTGACTTGTAAGTACTTTGGTGAATATTAGCTTTCCTATGCTTTGATGTACAGTGGTACCTCGGGTCACGAATGCTTCTGTTCACGACCAATTTGGGTCACGAACAGCACTGTTTGCAAAATTTTGCTTCTGTTCGCGAACTCTGCATCGGGTGACAAACAGGATCCGTGGCCATTTTCCCTGCTGGCACATGTGGTCGTGGCTTCCTGTAGGGAGGGGGACTCTCCCTCCAAACAATAACTGCCTCCCCACCCGCCTTCCTGACTTCCACGCCTCAAGCAAGGTTAGCGTTCTCACTCTTCTTAGAGTACTGTACTGTACTTTGTGTCAT